GGATCATCATTTCAATCTCGAATGTTGCACGACATGATTTTTGAGCAAGTCTCATTCTTGTACTCTGAACTTCTTTTAGCCTTCAGTGCATGTCTGTATACGTGACTGCTTGATTGAAATTTTTTTTATCTCTTCTTGTGAAATTTTTCTCTTGAATAACCCCTTGCAAATCAACACTTCTCACACTATGTTATGTAGATGCAATGCACTGTAAAAACAGATAAAAATGACACAAAGAAAAGAAAAAATGAGTTAGTAACACAAACACAAGAGAAAAACGAGTGTTATGTGGATGAGGTGTGTCCAATGCTTGCGGCAGTATGTCCAATGTTTGTTCCTTTTTTTATTGAGACGTTCTCTGTTAGTTAATGTGAATGTAAAGAAATGAAGAGAAAAAAAACAAATGCAAAATATGTATAAGTGCATGATGCATGAAATGTTCGAGGCATTGATCCAAAAACACGTCTGTTATTATACATAATCTTTATTGGGACAAAAATGTTATTTCTTAAGAGACAAAAACCCCCTAAAGATATATTTGACTAAGTCTTCTAGACCTGAAACAGGTTGACTAGTCTTCTGCCTTCGTCTGTCACCGGTTGAATACCCTGTCGAACCACTCCGACTTCTCTGGCTAAACCGTGCAAGAGCTGAGCTATTTTTTGTACTTGCTCCAAGAAGTCTCGAATGACTGCATCTCTGGCTTTCATCCTTTGTTGAGCTTGTTCCCAACGAAAATTCCATTGAAATACTCCCTCAAAGGGACTATCTGAAGTTTGTTTGCTTGTTTCTTGAATTTGTCAACAATGACCTCCAATTCAGCTATCGATTTGCAATCTTTTTATTATTGTCTTTGAAGGGACTCTCCAGGTTTGTTACCTTTTTCTCGTCTTGCCCCTGGAACCTTTGCCAACCCATTTTTGAAAAGTTGACTTTTTATGTGCTTGGTATAAATCTCGGTCCATTCTGAGTCTTTAACAATGCAGCTGAGTGGTATACTATTTGATTGTGGGCAACACGTCTTCTTGATTGAATGTGACACATAGTTACCTTGTATATTGTCTCTTTTTCCTTCCAAGTCTTTTCTGACCATAGTCGGACCTCTACGTTTTCACCTCTTGTATTATAACCCCTTTGTCCATTAATGCAAATTATTTATGTTTAACGAACACGTTTTTGGTGGATCAACACCTCTTTTGAATGATGTAAATTATAAAAAAAATGAAAGAGAACAAAAATGAAAGGAAAGAGTTAGTGAGGTAAGGATAATAATCAAAACAATAATGAAAATAAAAAGTCCTACCCCACATACTTATTATTCCTACCCATACATGTTTTCTACCCTGCATGCTAATTTTAAGCAAATCCTAACCGCATATTTGTCTAGTTCGCATGCTTTGAATAGAAAGTAAAATAGGAGAAAATTCAAGCATCATAGGTTTTGAAATGGAGTTTCAGGGCGGGCTCTAATTCCCTGTAGTCTCCCGGTTAGGTTTTAAAGAAGGGTACCCGAGTTCTCCTTGCTGGTGCCCCTTGGGCTTGCCAGACCCTTAGTCCTAAGCCCATTACAAGCTTATGTGAACTAAGTTAAACTCGGGAGGATACATTCCCTTATGTCTGCACGGAGAAAAAATTCACACGAAGACATAAGGTATATAAATCCCAAAGGTTACTTGCTAGGCCTGCACGGAGAATAAATTCTCACGAAGACGTCGCTTTCGTCCCCACTTAAAAAAGGTTCAGAACTCGGGTCTAGAGTTTATGTTATGCAAATGAATGTGATTTGTGTAAGGAGGAATGTACTTACCTTCGACTCAAAAGGAAAACGAAATAAGGAAAATAAACTTGATAACAACCTTGACCAAAGCTTGAAAAAATGAATAAAAACGTTAGTACGAAAAATATAGAAATTAAAAAAATTCAATAAATGAATCATAAGCCAACTATAGATTCGTACTCGTAATTTCTAATAAATATAGGGTGACCAACTCGTGGCTCGACTCTCAATTTGTTTAAAAAACTAAATTCCTAGTGGAGTCACCAAGCTGTCGACACCGTTTTTTGCCCAGGCGGGGAAAGACAGATACCGACTCAGGGGTTTTCTCTTTGAAAAGAGTTTCGAAATGTGAGGAGTCACCACCAATCATTTAAGCTGCGATTGGAACATCGTAAAAACTGGGTGATTTTAATAAAACATTTTATTTTAATAAAATATCAAGTTTTGCGGTCTACGAAAAATCCAGAAATCAGGTTTGGGAGTCGGTTACGCGTGGGTAAGGATTAGCACCCCCCCAAGCGCCCAAATATTGGTACCTAGTTGATTACCCTATATTTAAAATTGGAAATTTTGAGTTTGATCTTTATTTAATTTAAAAATCATTAAGGATGCAAAGTTGAAAAGGGTATTCGTTTATTGAGACAAATAGAATTCGTACCCAAGCGTAAATGCGGGAGATCAACTATTATGCCTAATAACCGAATATTGCCTCGTTTTTAGAAAACATGATGCGGTTTTTGAAAATGATATCGACTTATTTCGACAATCACCAGTAGTCACTCCCTGAGCTACTTGCGGGAGATATGCAATTAACATTGACTTAAATTTTAAAATGTAACCAGACAAAATTTTATTCATCCTAATTAAATTAAAAGTAAATTAAGGCTTTTTCTAGCTTAAAGTGTCAAATTATGAAAATTAAGGAACCTAGGGGCTCAAACCTAAACATGTAGGCTCTATTTATCCTATTTAATTATGTAAACGTTAAAGCTCTAATTAAGTTTGGAGACTAAACGGTCAAAGGATTAAACTATGACTATAAGACCTAAATATAAAATCCTAAAACTTAAGGATGTAAATTGCATAAAATAAAATAACAATTATAAAATGAAAGAAAATAAAAGTTAGTAGTTAAATAGGAAATAAATAGTGACCAAAATGCAAAAATTAAAATAACAGTAGCTAAATCAGAAACTAATAGTGACTAAATTAAAACAAAACAAAACATAATGATAAAATTGCAATGAATTATAAATGAAAGGTCCAGTGACCAAAATATAAAAACATGACAAATTTTGGGGACTAAAAATGATAATAACCCAAAAAGTAACAACACACGTACATAAAAGGAAGAATTGCAAAATCAGTCCACCAAGTTTCAAAAAAAAAGTAAAAGGTCACTACACATGACCAAAGTGTAAAAACACGCTAAAAGTGGGGGATTAAAATGAAATTATACCAAAAATTTTAAAGCACAAAAAAATGAAAAATTATAAAAACAATCCCTTCCAATGACCATTTTATAAAAACACGGGAAGTTTTAGGGGACCTAAAACGTGATTTCTTCCGAAATTGTTTTATAAATACAAACTTTTTCCCTTTTTTTAACATTTCATTTTTCTGTTTTTTATTTTTTTTGGAGAGAGAGGGGAGAGAGGGTCGCCCCTCTCTCTAGAATGTTGTCTGATCATCGATCGCCGCCGATTGCCGCGCTGCCTCCGGTGGCTGTTGGCCACCAAAATTTATTGGGAGACTCGTCTTGGCGCGGTGGTCACGGATCCGGGCTCAGTTTTGTGAAAAACGGTCCCCAACACCTCGAAATAAGCCAATAACCCCTTGGCTTCCACCGCCCGGATCTCCGCTGTCCACCGTTGGATCAGGCCCAAATTTCAGTATGCTGCTCCTCCTCATTGTTTGGATCTGCGATCCGACTCCCGAACGCCGACGAGGCTCCGGCCGAACGTAAAGTACTATCTTTTTGTTATATTTTTTGTTTCGAAAGCTAAAAAACTAAAATACCAAAAAAAAATCTTTGAACCTTTTTCTGCTTTTTATTGATTTTTGAATGGGAATGGAACCTCCTCCTACATTTTTGTTTGGTTGGGTTTATATATCACTCATTTCTTACATGCTTTTACATAAAATAATCACCACTAGCATTGTGATGATTTGGATATGCACTTATTCCTTTAGTGGCAGGAAACATGGAATGGTGCTCTGGTGGGTGCACGGTAGTGGTAGGGTGTGGTGGGTAAAAAAATTGATTTTGTATAAAGTTGGTGATTACAGCATAAGAACGACAAGCTTTGCAATTTAAATCCTCTTATTGGTTATTAAGTTATTTTGGAGTTTATGTTTTTATTTAGATTGATAAACTCTGATGGGATTTACGTAGTTTCAGTTGAAGATATTAGGTAGATTAGGCCATCTCCAGCGCATCGCTGGAGTGGCATTCATCTCCACTTTGGAGATGACTTATGCTCTAGCTCATCGCCATTGTTATGCTGGATTGTGGCGTTAGGTTACAGTGCACGCCACAACTGGCGTTGCACTATAGTTGAGCTATATTTTTTTTGATTTTTGATTTTTTTTAATTTCTTTTGTTATTTTCTTTTTCTTTTCTTTTTCTTTATTACATTATTTTCTCTTATTCTATCTTTTATGGTTTTTTATTGTAATTTCTACACAATAAAATAAAAATTAAACATAATATAATAAATTCAAGTAGATTAAAGTGCAAGATAGATAAAAATACAGTGCAAGATAGAATTAAAATATATAATTATGTAACTTATGTTTTTTCACATTATTATTTTGAATTGTAATTTTATCATTTATTTGTATTTTCGTAATGTTATTTATGAATGTTTTATTTTTGCTTTTTATCTTGATATCTATTAGAAATGTATATGTTTTATTTTATATTTGCAAAATCAATATTATAATAGTTAAATATTGTGAATAAAGTAGAGTTGGTGGTAATGTAGAGATAGTGCTCGAGATGAATTATTGTTTCATTTTTAAAGTGTAGATAGAAATACTGTAGAGTAGAGATAGGGCTAGAGATAGCCTTAAAGTTAGATATTAGGTAGATTGAAGTTAGATATAGTCTAAAATTACATTTTGACTTTATAGTCTTATTTATTGAATTATTTGCGGAATCAAGGGTATGAAGATTGATAGCGAAATCAAGAGTCTTTGGTTCATGGGATGATTTAATTCAAAAATTGGAGCTCAAGGGCTTCCGTTCCACAAAAGAAGTGGTATGCATAACCTGGGAGGTTATCAAAGAATGGATGTAACTCATTGTATCTCAAATAGATTACTTGATATTCATTTGCTTCTGGAAAACATTTTTTATTTTTGTAAAATGCAGGTGTTTTCATGCACTTTGCGATGTTACATATATACGATACGAAAATTTAATTGGGTTTACGTTTATGATATGTAAAATGCCTTTTACTTCTGGCTTGAATGCTGCTAGGCTAGCAAGTTAGTATTTTCAATTGATGGGAAACATTAATTTATCCGATCTTGCTATTCATGTTCATGGTTTGATATCTGCAACAATTTCCGAGCAAGAAGTCTTGCTAAAGTCCCAACTTTTTACTTGTCCACTTCAAACACAAGACTTCAGAGCAACCTCTTCGAATGGATTGGGTACTTGGATTTGTGCCATAGAATATTGATTTGCAGGTACCATGATCAGACTATGTAAGATGGAAGACCTTAATTTAGATAAAGGTCTTCTTAACTCCTGCTTTGATAGAACCATAATGGGCTGCTGCATATTTTCCATTTCTGTAACATGTTATTTGTTTTTCTTCCCTGAATTCAACGTGGTTGTTCGGTCATTTCTGGACAAGGCGTCTCTTTTCAATATAAAAGGAGACTGGGGATGAGTAACATTGCCCAATTTATAAATAATACCACTGTAGTTTTCACATGATTCATTCATTGATGAGTAACATTGCCCAATTTAATTGCATCAGCTAACTTCCTTGTGAGAATCACTGAATCCTCTAAAGCACAACAAGCACCTTGTCCCATATTAGGAGTCATCGGATGCCAGGTATCACCAACCAGCACAACTTTGCTGACTGAAGCAGGAGGGCTTAAACCCGGCCATAACCAACGATAAACTAGTGGGGTCTTGCTTATCGTCTCATCCGGGCTAAGATCAATCAATCTAAGCAGCTCTTCAGGCCAGTTGCTTACAAGCTCTTTTGCTTGCTTCCTCAACAACACCGGATCAGTAATCTTTGGACCTGCAACAGCCATGTCAGAAGAATTGGTGTGTCAATGTAATTCACAATTTCATTTATGGTTGAATTCTACAATAAAAAAGAAGAACCTGGAGAGGGGCTGTTATAACAGATAAACCAGTAAACTTTTGTAGGAAACACCGGATCATATCCAGCATGCAAACCTCTTCCATAGATATAGTTAACATTTTCTGCAAATGGCTGCCCATTGGGATAAAATCCGAGTCCATAAAAAGCACAATGCCGTACATACTTCGGATCAGAGAAATCCATCCCCCTGGCTATTGGAGACCGAATTCCATCACAGCCTATAACTATCTGTCAAAGAAACGATATTCAATTGATTTCCTTTTACACAGTCCGGCCACGGGCAATGCTGAAACTTGAGGTTAAGGTTAACTAACTTTTGCAAGTAACCTGGTGCCATCCGTAAGTTCCAAAAGAGTTTCACCATTTTCACTGGAATTGATATTTGCTAACTTGGAATCGAACTGTCTCAGGTGGTAACTCATTGGCAAGCGTCTCCAGCAGTATTCTCCTCTCCATTGCACGAACTTCTTGGCTGCAAACGTCAAGCAATCAATATTTGTTTGATGGACTGAAGTGTCACAACCCATTGACAGACAAGATGCTTTCATTTCTCTAGGTAGTGCTACATCAAGGTCGTGAACACAAACCGGTCCAGCGCCCCCTCAAGAGTGTTGCCTGAAAGGGTCTCTCAGTTTCAAACCTAGAACCTCTTACAGCGTCCTTTTTTTTTCCGCAACCATAGTACCATTTGATCAATTGGAGTTGCAAAGTAGACTCACATATAGGAAGGTTCTGAGCTTGAACATCGGAAACCACCTTCAGGTGACGGGCTTGAGGGTGCCCGTAGGCACCCAAAAAGGGCAATATCAGCTTAACGACGCCGGTGTAACACTGCTAAGGAGATGAGAATATCTTATTGGTTGAGAGATCATGACAAAGAAACTATGTCTCGAAGAACGATGAAGTTTTATTACGTTTGATCTTCATCTTTGAATCTGAAGGAGCGTAACTCCCTTCCATCCTCTGAATTCACCGCCATCCTGCACGGCTGATGCAATGAACAAGTTCAGAATACGACTCTGAAACCTACTTTTGGTTTCATATAATTTCCATTACATTCAAATCAGTAAAAATAATTGCAAACAAGAAGCTTGTGAAATTGACACATACCCTTCGATTTCAAGGAATTGGCTCCTCAGACTGTCCGCAACACCAATGGAATCCAATACCCTTCAGCCGTTCTTGAAAAGGGTAAGTGAGGTTCCACCAGTTCTAAGTGGCACAGCTTGCTCAAGAACCACCGACCCAATTCCTAGCCTGATATGATTAACCTCTTAACATCAAAATCATAACTTAAATGCTGAAATATGAGAGGAAAATTCATAGCTTTCTGTTTTTCTTTAGACCTGTGAAGGGACACTGCAGTGGCGAGGCCGGCAATCCCAGCTCCGACGATGACAATATCCTCCTTTCGAACATCAGCTGAAGTTTTTATGATAACCGTGCGGATGGTTTTAGTTCTGGGTTGAGCTTTAAACCGACTTCTCTGCAAAACTCCTCTGCCTTGAGAATTGTTCAAAGAAGGTAGTGGCATAGGAGAATTGAGATGCGTGTGGGAAGTGGCCATTGCCATGGTAATGCCGTGTGAAGGGTTCAAAATTTATGATGGGTTTGATTTGAGTTTAGAGAAAACCCCAGAATTTTAACACGAAATGTCATTGGAAATATGTGGCGGAGATGAAACGGTTGTTGTTGGTTCATGTTGAACCAGATTTTAGCCTGGAAAGAATATTAGATAATAAAGACATTTTTCTCTACTCTTAAGTCTAACTCGAGCTCCAGAATCGCCTATAAATTTAAGGATGTTAATTCAACTTGAATGGCTAAATTTTGATTTGACTCGACCTGATAAGACCATTCTATAAGAATAAAGGAGATCCCAACGTTGTGGCAACTACATAGGTATTAAACTACTCAGCCATACCATGAAGCTATGGGAAAGGGTGATAGAGGCTAGGTTGAGACAAGTTACTAGGGTTTCGGAAAACCAATTTGACTTTATGCCAAGCAGATCTACTACGGAGGCGATTCATCTACTTCGACGGCTTATGGAGAAATATAGGGAAAAAAATAGAGATCCTCACATGACGTTAATTGACCTTGAGAAGACATATGATAGCGTTCCCCGCGATACGATCTGGAAGACCTTAGAAACGAGACGGATCCCAACTGGTTATATCCGGGTGATTCGTGATATGTACTATAGAGCTACTACTTACGTCAGGACTACAGTTGGCGACACCGAGGCATTCCCGGTGGAAATCGGACTCCACCAGGGGTCAGCTTTTAGCCCTTACATCTTCGCCTTGATTATGGACGACATCTATTGTGCGACACCAGACGGTGTTCCACGGTGTATGCTTTTCGCTGACGACATTGTCCTAGTTGCCGAAACAAAAACTGAGCTGAATAGAAGACTGGCTGCCTGGAAGACTGCTTTGGAAGTAAAAGGTCTAAGGATCAACATTGAAAAGACAGAGTATTTATGTTCAAACTTCAATGGAAAAAATTATAAAGATGTAGAAGTATGCATAGAGGGACACGTTATCCCCTCAAAGGAATGTTTCAAGTACCTAGGGTCTATGATACATAAAGATGGGGGTGTAGATGATGACGTTACACATCGTATAAAGGCGGGATGGCTAAAGTGGAGGGTTGCTGCTTGGAGTTTTGTGTGATAAGAGGGTGCCTCTAAAACTTAAGGGAAACTTTTATAGAATGTCAATAAGACCAGCGTTGTTGTATGGATCAGAATGTTGGGCAATCAAGAAGGATCACGTAAGGAGGATGGAGGCCGCAGAAATGAGAATGCTACGATGGACATATGGTAAAACTCTGTGGGACATGACACCAAACTCTGCTATTAGGATGTCCTTAGGGGTGGTGTCTGTATCCGAAAAATTAAGGGAGGGAAGACTACGGTGGTTTGTGCATGTCCTTAGGCGACAACCGTCGGATGCGGTCAGGAGGGTAGAATCGATTACAGTCGACGGTGCCAGAAGGAGAGGAAGACCAAGACGGAGGTGGGAAGACTGCTTGAGAGCTGATTTGAAAGATTTAGCCATTACTGAGGACATGACCTCTGATAGGAAAATATGAAGACTTAAGACCAGAGTATCCGAGTAGTGCGGGTCACAGACATAGGGTGTTACATCTCTGTCTTCTTTTTATTGCATTTGTAATAATTTCCATGACTTATACTTTATATATGTTTATGTTATTAGAATTTATGAAGGCTTAGAACTATGGTAGCGGAGTAGTGTTGCCTTAGTTTAGGTTTTTAACCCTTTAGACTTTATTCCTTCTCGTATGCTTTCTATCCTTGACTATTGTGTATCATTCTCTTCAGGTTTCCTCTTTTTAAATTTACTCGGGCCGAGATTTTAGTGCGGGGATTTATTTACAGGGATTACTTCGCATTACAGACATGTATATGAAGACTGCATATGAAGATTGTTCAACTATGTATTTATTTATTTATTTATACGTACATTGCATTTTATCTTTATCTTTAATTTTCTGACTACTGGAGGTCTTCCACGGAAGTTGCTCTCAACCCTGACGTTGGGGCCAGCCTACTACCATACCTCCCCTTACCTCATTACATATGAGAATATGATTTTGTTGTTGTTGTTGTTGTTGTTGTTGTATTATAATTATTATAAGGGTAAAGTATAGTAATGGTCACTGAACATTTCTGAAGCTTGCATTTAGGTCCTCCAACTTTTAAAACTTGCAATACAGTCCCCCAACATTTATTCCGTTTGCAATATGGTCCCCCAACTTAAACCACCGTTAGAAATTAGGGTAAATTATATAAAAGGTTATTGAACTTTTCAGACACTTGAATTTAGGTCCCCCAACTTTTAAAACTTGCAAAAAAGTCCTCAATTTCATTCTAAACCCCAATTTCCAAAGTAATTCAATTTCATTCTAAACCCTAAATTCCAAAATAATTCAATTCAATTCAATTATGTCAGATTTATTATTATTTAATTTCATCTTATTTCATGTGATACGTATTTTTTTATATAAATATATTAGTATAATTCTTATCTGTTGAAGAATTTTTTTAATTAAAAAAAGTAGTTAGGATATATAAGAGGTTGAAAATAATTCGAATT